AGCAACCCTTGAAATGTTATCCATACGGACTTCCAAGTAGACCATAGGATTGTATACTGTCTTAGAATGTCCTTAGAAGGCTCTGTCATTGATCAGGTAACAGAGTAAAAACCCCTGAGTCCTTTCTTTCAAACAGAAGAGGGAAAGACATAGGGACAAAGAAGCCATTCAAACTTCGTCTTCTTTCCTTGTGGCTTGTGGTCTCCGCCTTCTCCTCTCTCACCCCGGAAGCCTCTTTGGCCTCCAAAGCCTCCCCAGCCAGAGTCTCACTTTGTTGCCCTCAAAGAGTGCTGTGGAGTTATAGCTCACAGCAACCTCAAAGTCTTGGGCTCAAGCAATTCTATTGCCTCAGCCTCCCAAGTAGCTGAGACTACAGGCACCCACCACATGCCTGGCTATTTTTAGAGACCAGGTCTCACTCTGGTTCAGGCTGGTCTTAAACCTGCGAGCTCAGGCAAACTACCTGCCTTGGCCTCCCAGAGTGCTAGGATTACAGACGTGAGCCACCGCACCCGGCCCCAAATTCCTAAGTTTTTATAAATCTATCACTCACGCAAGAAGCTGCACTTGTAGCACAGGCAACATCTGTCGCTCCTTCTTCCTCGACCGCTGAAAGATGTTGTTCTCCTCCTCATGAAGGGAGTGGCGGTCTATGGTACATGGCACATCCACCAGCACCTGTCCAGAATGTTAAAGGGTAAAGTATTAAAGCTCCATACAGCCTCTTCCTCCTTAGAACATAGCTGTTTTAGGTCTTCAGCCTGGCAGGTTTGTGGAGTACTCCCTCTGCAGAGTAACTAACAAAGCTTCTCATTTTAACCTGGTAAACAATTATGAAATAATGAGAAGAAAAACAGTATATTTCGGAATATTCATGTCTGGTCAGAAAGCCAAAATCAACAAACAGCTATAATGAATCGATATCAACCTAGAAAGATGTCTTAGTCATCGGGGCTCTGTCCTTAGCTACTTAAATGAAAACATCCAATTTCCAGATGATACAATGCGCAGAACATAGCTAATATACTGAATAATAGAATTAGGATTCAAAATTATTCTAAGTTGAAACAACATTAGATCTAATACAGAAATGTTTTAAAGTGAGAAATGCAAAATTACTTATTCATTTACTAAGAGCCTACTCTGTGCAGACAAATTTAAAGTTTCAAAAAAAGTAAAGTCACTTATAGAAAAAATCTATAAATTTTTAGTTACACTAAAAAGAACTCCAAGTAAATTAATAATTACTCAATATTCTAATGTATTCATATGCGTCAGGAACTGATACAGTGCATACAGACTAAGAAAAATAACAATTACCTTTGTCTCAAGAACTGTGATGGAATGCTCTTCACAGGAAAAAGGAACATTAACTAGGGATGCTCAGAAAAGGGACATTGGGATATTCTAGAAATCACCTCATACCAGAAATTAGTATCTTCTGTTTCTAGCAATTCTAGCAACTAGATATCCTAAAAACCATTATAATATAAAATACCTAAAAACATGGATAAAATATATTTTTACAATATTTTAAAATGTAGAGCTTATGCAGAATTAGCAAAATCCTCAGAAGCCAAGAGAATACAGGGCAACAAACCCAGGGAGGTATGCAGGAGCTGAAGCTGATGGCATCCGTCTTTTACCAATCCCTAGTTAGCAAAAGCTGAGGACAACAGAAAACAGGGCACTGGGCTCAACTGAGGTGGGTGATTGGAATGGAAATCCATGGCAAAGACAAATCCTCAAAGGGCTGCACACTTAATGAGAGTAAACTGGGAAAAAAAACTCCAGCCCACAAAAGAGGGCAAAAGAATGTGTCCAGGTTTGGCGTCCGTAGCACAGTGGGTACAGTGCCAGCCACATACACCTGAGTTAGCAGGTTCAAACCCAGCCCCGGCCAGCTAACCAACAATGACAACTGCAACAAAAAACAGCTGGGCGTTGTGGTGGGCACCTGCACTCCCAGCTACTTGGGAGGTTGAGGCAAGAGAATCACTTAAGCCCAAGAATTTGAGCGATGCCACAGCACTTTACTAAGGGCACATAGTGAGACTCTGTCTCAAAAAAAAAAAAAATTGAATTGTGTGCCTAAAATGGGTGGATTTTATATGTAAATTATATCTCAATAAAGATGTTTTTAAAAAATGTGTTCATTTTGCTTTAATTCTGGGCAATAAAAAAAAAAAGAGAGAGAGAGAAGTCTCCTTGAGAATTTTATTTTTTTTTTTAGTAGAGACAGTCTATCACCCTCGGTAGAATACTGTGGTGTCACAGCTCACAGCAACCTCCAGCTCCTGGGCTTAGGTGATTCTCTTGCCTCAGCCTCCCGAGTAGCTGCGACTACAGGTGCCTGCCACAATACCCGCCTATGCTTTTGTTGCAGTTTAGCTGGGGCAGGCTTTGAACCCGCCACCTTCAGTATGTGGGGCTGGTGCCCTACTCACTGAGCCACAGGTGCCACCCATCCTTGAGAATTTTTAATCACTCAGGTGGTGGATTCAAAATCATGCCTTCAACAAAAGAAATAATAAGTTCATGAAGTAATGCATAATGTTAATTAGCTCTCTTTACCCATTCCATAACATATACATAATTTAACACAACACGTACATAATCTAGACAATCTGTCAAACAAAATTTTAAATCATGCCTTCATGATCCAGAGAACTCCATGTTGAAAAATTAATCATCTGGGCTCGGTGCCTGTGGCTCAAGTGGCTGAGGTGCCAGCCACATACACCTAAGGTGGCGGGTTCAAATCCAGCCCAGCCCCCCAAACAAAGATGGCTGCAACCAAAAAAATAGCCAGGTGTTGTGGCTGGCACCTGCGGTCCCAGCTACTTGGGAGGCTGAGGCAGGAGACTTGCTTGAGCCCAGGAGCTGGAGGTTGCTGTGAGCTGTGATGCCATGGCACTCTACCCAGGGG